CCTGGCGATGCTCGCTCTCCTCGTGCCGTCGGATGGTGAGCTTCGAGCCCACAAGAGTGCAGTAGTGGCATCTGAAGGTCAACTTCCGCGGAGTGTGCCGTCGCTTCTTACGCGGAAACGCCTTTTTCTTCGTCAACGACATACCCCCAATAAAAGACCTCATTCGCGAAGGCCACGGTGTCTTCGATGGCGGCTCCTTCACGGCCGTCTTACGCTGCACGACCAGCTTGCTCTGCGTCATCTTCGGCGACGGCCCCGCCCTCTCGGCTGGGTTTGCTGGCGCCGCGCCCGTCTCCGCGTCGCTCGGCTGCCCCTCGACCTCGACGTCGGCTGGCGGCTCGGCCATCTCCAGCACGCTGAAGGCCGGCTCACCGTGGGTCTTCAGCCGCCACTGGTGCGCGCTCTCCAGGTGCGCCACCAGGGCGGCGAACGGCAGCCGCTGCTCGCAGACCGGACACTGGTACGGCTGCGGCCGCGGCCCGGGCCAACCGCGAATCGTCATCGAGTGACACACCACCAGGTGGGTGCTGCTTTGGCGCACGGAGCAAGAGCAGACGCGGTCGAACGGGCCGCCGCCACGCCGCTCCGGGCGCGGCTGGTGCACCCGCCGCATGTGCTTGTTTCGGGTGGATTTGTGGCTGAAGCCGGCATCACACGAGCGGCAGCGGTGGCGCAGCGAGCTCTTGTGACAGCGCACCGTGTGCATGTGCGTGGGCTGCGCATAGCAGTAGGCCAGCGGGCAGACGCGCTCGGGCCGCGTCAGACCAGAGTGCTGCACATCGCCGTGGCGCTGGTACTCGGCCGCGCTCTGGAAGAACTCGTCGCAGAACGGACACGCCAGGATGCCTGGGATGGCAGAGTCGCTGTGGGCCTCGGAAGCGAACGGGCGGTCGGCGGCGGCGCCTCCCGCGCCCGTTCTCGCCGCAGCGGAGCCGCCGCCGGCCGGGCCCGGCGGTGGCGCGTCCGGGTCCGCGCCCGCCGCCGCCCATTCCGCAGCCGCGGCCCTGGCGTCGTGCACTTCCGACACGAGGTCGAGGAAGTTGCGATTGTCGAATCGCTGCCAGCCGAACGCTTCCGATCCGGTCAGCTTAAGTTGCCAGCCGTGCTTGCTCACCACGTGTCCGAGCAGGTCCTTGAAGCAGAGCCGCCGCCAGCACTCGGGGCACGGGTAGGGCCGCAGCCGCGGGCCCGGGTAGCTGCGCACCTGGATCGAGTGGCTGTGCAAGTAGTGCGCCCACTCGGTCACGCCGCTGCGGTCGCGGCCGTGGTCGCAGAGGCACTCGGTCGCGTCATCCACCTGCACGCCCTGCTCCGTCTGCGAGTGGTGGTAGTCCTGCGTGTGGTGCCTGTGAGCAATCTCGGTGCGGAACCAGCGGTCGCAGAACGAGCACTTGAACTTGCACTGCTCGGCGCCTTTGTGATAGGACGTGCTGTGCTGGGTAGACGACGACGCCCAGCAGTATTTGAACCCGCACTGGTCGTCGTTGGTTACGAGGCCTGAGTGCATCACTCGCGAGTGTCGCAGGAACATGCCCTTGTGGATGAAGAACGCATCGCAGAAGGCGCAGTCGAGCCTGTCCTGACGGTCGGCGATATCCCGCAGCTGCAGCCCCGCCAGCAGCTGCCTCCAGCTCCTCCTTGCTGACCTCTGCCCCGCCGCCGGCTTGTCGGGGGGCGCTGGCTCGGGCTCGCCGGGTGGCTCGACAACACGCGCGTCCTCGCCAGGCGGGAACACTCGCACCCCGCTCTCCTTGGGACGCCAGCCGTGCTGACGCTTCAGATGGTCCACCAGGCGGTGGAAGGGCATCCGGACAGCGCACTCGGGACACGTGTAGGGCAGCGGCCGCGGTCCGGTCGGCCCCCGCGCCTGGCCCTGGTGGTAGCGCCACAAGTGCAGCAGGGACACGGGCCCCGTCACGCAGCAGCGGCACAGCACGCGGCCCAGCAGCCGCTGCGGCCGCCGGCCATGCGCGTGCAGGCTGGCCGCGTGCCGCTGCAGGTGGTACGGCGATGAGAATGACGCGTCGCAGTGGGCGCACGGCAGGTGACGATGCGTCGGGTCCTTGTGGCAGGCGGAACGGTGCAGCGAGCGCTTCTCCTCGTAGCAGTACATGACCGGGCACCGACGACCCCTTTGGACCGTCTTCTCCAGCCCAGAGTGGGCCATACGCGTATGCGCCGTGTACTCGTCCTTCGTCTGGAAGAATCCGTCGCAGAAGGGACACTCAAAGAGCTCCTCGTCGGAGGAGGCGGCGTTGGCGGAAGGCAGCGCCAGTTTGGCGACCAGTCGACTTGGTGGCCGTCGCTCGGCCCGCCGCATGCTTCAGCAGCTTGTCTGCTTTGGCCATGGGCGGCGGCGGCGGTCGAGGCGCCTTGCTCGTATCATTCTCGCCCTTCTGCGAATCCAGGAAGACCCAGTGGTGCCGCTTTTGCATGTGCTGGAACATTGCCTCGAACGTCATGGCCTTGTGGCACAGCGGACAGCCGAACTCGACGACCCGCAGCGCCGACGTCGCGAAGTAATCGAAGCCGGTCATCTTGAACACCCAATTGTGCTTCGTCGCCATGTGCTCCACCAGCTCCTCGAAGCCAAGCTCCGCCAGACACTTGGGGCACGCGTATGGGGCGCTGCGTGGGCCGGGCAGACCGCGGATCAACACCGAGTGCGACGTCTGCAGGTGGAACTTGGTCACGTAGCCGCCGCCGTCCGCCGCCGGGCCTGAGCACCAGCAGTTTCCGTCCTCGCGCAGCTGGAACGCCGGCATCGACTCGTCGGCGTGCTGGCGGAGTGTGTGCTCCTGCAGCGGCGTGGCGCCGGTGAACGTCGCGTCGCACTGGCTGCAGCGGTGCGCGCGCTGCCGCGACCCCTTGTGGTACATCAGGTCGTGCTTGAACGAGCTGCTGTCGGCGCAGCAGAAGCGCACGCCACACTCTTGACGCACTGGCTCGCCGTCCACACGGTGGTTGAGGGTCATGTGCCGCTGGTACATGCGGTCCGATCCGAAGAACGCGTCGCAGAACGGGCAGTCGCGTCGGCTCCGGCTGTTGCCGCTAGCCAGCAGGCAGCTGGCCGACACGGCGACGCGTTTGGTCGCCTTGACCTGCCAGCTGCCGCTGACGGGCGCGGCTGCCTCGGCCACCTCGCGCGCCACACCGCCGCCAGCGCGGTTGCCGGCGATGGTGGTCGCCGCCGCCGAGCCAGGCTGCGAGCGGTGCCAGCGCGCATGCGCCTCGGCGTTGTAGACGGTCTGAGAGCACAGAGCACAGGGTGATTCGCAGTCCTCCGGGTCCTTCTCGTGGACGACGCGCAGGTGCCTGGCCACCGCCGTGGCATTATCGGCGGAATAGTAACAGAACGGGCAGTGCGCGGGACGAGACAGGCCCAGCTTGTGCGCTGCTGGGCTGTGATGCATTTTCTTGTGAGAGAAAAGTGCCTTACTCGTGCCAGGCTTGCCGCACGCACGGCACTTGAAGACTTTCGCTGCCTTGACCTGCTTCCATATGTCGGCGAGTGCGTTCTGTGCGGGGTGTTCAGCGTCAGCGCCATCCTTCACCGCCCCGCCCGACTGCCGGCGGTGCCAGCGTGCAGTGCGCCTCGACGTTGTAGACGGGCTGAGAGCACAGTGCGCAGAGCGACTCATATGCCGCGGCGTCCTTTTCATGGCTGATGCGCAGGTGTCGTATCACCTTGATAGGTGTCGCAGAGGAGAAGTGGCAGAGCGGACAGTGCATGGGCCGCGACAGCGCCAGCCTGCGCGCCGTCGGGCCGTGATGGATCTTCAGGTGGTGGTGCAGAGTCTTTCTGGCTCCACGTTTGCCACACAGCTTACACTTGAAGCTCCTCCCGTCCTTTATGATCGCAAGCATGCGGTATCCTTTTTGGACCAACGGCGTTTGAGGCCTGGAGGGGGGCAGTTTCGCTATCGCGGGCGGTTCGCTACCTGCAGCGAGGGCCTGCTTCTTCGCGCCGCCTTTGGCGAGCCCGCGTATGCAGTTATGTCTCGCCAGATTGTACGTGACCACGCAGCAAGACGGGCATACCTGGCGGAAGCCGGTTGGCGACACCGCATGCACCGACCTCAGGTGCCGCGCGATCCGCTTGGCCGACTTGGCGGCGAAGAAGCACAGCGGACAGTGCTGAGAGAGCGCTCTCGTCTGCGCCTCCGCTTTCGGCTGTGTGATAAAAGAGGTGTCTTCGCAGCCTGTTGCTGTTAGACGCCACTTTGCCGCAATGCGGACAGGTCGGCACGCCGTGCGCCGCCTCCGTCGCCGCGGCGCCACCACCGCCACCGGTGGTGGCAGCCGCGATGACAGGCGCGTTGGCTAGCGGCGGCGGCGGTGCGGCAGGCTCCGGGGGCGCCTCCTGCTCCCGCCGGTGGTGGATGGTGCTATGGCGAGCCAGCAGGTACTGAAAGCTCGAGCCGAAGTGGCAGGAGGGGCAGCGGAAGCGACGGTCGCCGTACTTCTCCTTGGCCTCCACCGAGTGGTAGAAAGCGTGCTTGGCGATAGCACCGGCCGATCGCTGCACGCTCTGGCACTGCGAGCACGTGTGGTGCCCGGCGGGCGGCGGCGGCAGCGGTGTCGATGCGGCTGGGTCGGCCCCGGCCGCCGCCGCCGGCTCGCTGGCCGCGCCTCCACGCGCCGTCAGCAGACTGCGCATGTTGCGGATGATGCATTGGCCCTGGTCGAGCGTAATCTTGACGCCGCGCCGGCCGAGCAGCAGGCGCACCATCATGGCCTGCGCGTGCTGGAACGAGCTGTCCACGTAGGCAGCCCACTCCTCGGCGCGCAGCTCCGGATGATGATCGAGCATGTGGAATGAGCCCCACTGCCGCGTCGGCTGCTGGCAGATGCGGCAGAAGAACAGCGTGTCGCCCGAATGGCTTTGATAGTGGTAGGTGAGCTCGCTGAGCAGCCGGAAGTCGGCGCGGCAGCCGGGACACTGCAGACTGGAGAGCGCGGCGCGCAGCTCGGCCGCCGGCGGCAGGCTCAGCAGCATGCTACGCTGCTGCACCCTCGCCCGCCTGCTGGCCCGGCTGCGTGTTGCTGGCGCCGACGCGCTCCGTCCAGAGGAAGGTGGCGGCGGCGGGCAGGCGGCGGCCGCGCGCCGCGCGCGCCTCCTGTCGCCGTGCCGGACTGTAGCCGCAGTGGCCCCCGGCCTCGGTGGCCGCCTGCAACAGAGCGGAAACGCTCTCTCAGTGCCGGCCGCGCCCAGGCCACCGCAGGCCGGGGGCCACTGCCACACTCCTGCACATGCGGCCTTTCGCAGATGCCACAACCGTTTGCGTAAGTACATTGCTTTTTAAGAACATTTTACAGATACCGAATGTATTTTTCTGGGACCGCTTCGCTTTGAATGGATAACGTTTGGACAACAGTCCGTACCAATCATGGCTTGTAGGTAAGACACTGGCCGTGCCATCCCAGTGGAACAATGCTGGCTCAGTAGAATCACCCCGGCTCTCCCGGCTCTCCGCCAACTGACGGTCTGCGGGCGGCTCTCCTGCCTCATCCCGGCTCTCCGCCAACTGACGGTCGGCGGGCGGCTCTCGTGCCTCATCCCAGCTCTCCGCCAACTGACGGTCGGCGGGCAGGCTCTCCTGCCTCGTCCCGGCTCTCCGCCAACTGACGGTCGGCAGGCGGCTCTCCTGCCTCATCCCAGTTCTCCGCCAACTGACGGTCGGCGGGCAGGCTCTCCTGCCTCATCCCGGCTCTCCGCCAACTGACGGTCGGCGGGCGGCTCTCCTGCCTCATCCCAGCTCTCCGCCAACTGACGGTCGGCGAGCGGCCGCTCCTGCCTCATCCCGGCTCTCCGCCAACTGACGGTCGGCGGGCGGCTCTCCTGCCTCATCCCAGCTCTCCGCCAACTGACGGTCGGCGAGCGGCCGCTCCTGCCTCATCCCGGCTCTCCGCCAACTGACTGTCGGCGGGCAAGCGCTCCTGCCTCATCCCGGCTCTCCGCCAACTGACGGTCAGCGGGCAGGCGCTCCTGCCTCATCCCGGCTCTCCGCCAACTGACGGTCGGCGGGCAGGCGCTCCTGCCTCATCCCGGCTCTCCGCCAACTGACGGTCGGCGGGCAGGCGCTCCTGCCTCATCCCGGCTCTCCCGGCCACCCGCCAATTGACAGCTGAAGGCGAGTCGTGTAAGGTCCGCTCTTGGGACGCCAACTCACATCTCTGAGCGCTCGACGCTCTACCACCTGAGCTGGAGGGACGGCACACGCAGTGAACTAGACCGTCGCCATACGCAGCGCTCGCTGTCAGCCGTCTCGACGGCCCGCTTCTAACTGCATGCTGGTCACAAATTGGGAGCATTTGAGTCGAGGAGCGCGCTTTTCCGGCCCAGCGAAGGCAATGCTAACGAGAAGATAAAACGGCTGCTCAGTGTGGCTTGGGACGATAGGAATACCTCCCATACAAGTGGGCCTAGCCATGCTTGCGCTGGATGGGGTACGGGCTGGCTGGCAAACAGCTGTGCTTGGAATATACTACAATACACCACACTAGCAAACGGTTTAGAAAAGTAAAAAACGCGTAAAAACTAACCCACAGGCCTGCAACACGCACATTCAACCGTACACACATCCGCCACTGAATGAATCCATGATACGTAGCGTATGAGTATTGGGGCCCGACGTCGCTGACTTGGAGCCTTAGTTGGGAGCCTTCTGAGAAATAAATGCGTCCCATTCCCGCCCGGGAGCTTCACGAACAGAATGACATTCAGAAGAGAGATTCATTCACCAAGAAAAAGACATCACGCAGCTGCGCAAATCATACGACCTATAATACTTATTCTTGTTTTGGACCAGAGCTGTTCACTAGCAATGGCGCGTTTTCAATGAACCGTTCACTGAAAACGCTGCACGTCAATCTTGGTCGTTTTCCGCTAGATTACTGCTGAATTTTCGTACCAGTACAACTTATTGTTTCATGGGTAAAAATTTCCCAATGAGTATAGTGGGAACGCTACACCATGACCGCGGAGCGCTTGCTAACGCTGCTGGGTGCAACAAAGGCCGGGCACTTTGGCGCACCACCGAAGCAGAAGTGTCACTGAACATTTCACTAGCATTTGCCCCAAAATATGCTTCCACTTTGTCTAAATTGCAGCCTTGGCATTTTTCCTGACTACCATCAAACAAGCAGACACTGAGTCCTCGTCTCCAAGTTCTGCCCCGTTCGAGCCACCCCTCCATTGACAGTACCCAGCACCGCGGTCGGTCGGTCGGCGGTACGCACCACGTGGTTCTGCGACCAGAGTCGCTGCTCGGCCCAGGCCTGCTCCTCGGCGGAGACGGCCGCCTCGGGCAGCAGCTGATCCGAGCTGAAGGTCACCGGCCGGCCGCCGGGCTCGCGGGCCGCCAGCCGCACCCCGGACACGGGTCGTGTCTGGACCTGCCGGCGGCGAGACAGGGGTGCACGGTACAGCGACAGATACAACCATGACAGAACGTCGTGCCTGCACCTGGAGATGCGCTCAGACACGCGTCTGGACCTGCCGGCGGCGAAACAGGGGCGCAAGGTACAGCGACAGATACAACCACCACAGAACGTCGTGCCTGCACCTGGAGATGCGCTCACGGAGAGGGTTTGACTGTTTGATCGTTTCGAAAACAAGAAAAAATGTCCTTATTCTGTTTTTCAAGTTTCGTCAAGTTTCGTTCCGTCAAGTTTCGACAGTCTCCATAGTTCAGACCCCAGTATAGGGAACACGCATTCCGTTCGCTCGTATCAGCTGCAGCCCCTAAGGTGATTCCTCTGCGCCAATTCAGAGCACGCCCCCCCCCCCCCCCACCTCCCGGTAGGGCACTTGCGGGTTAACCGCCAGCAGCACCGCCCCGCCTTCCCAGCGTCCGTCCCGGAGCAGGCGCGCTCACCGTGAGGCCTGAGATGGGGCTGACGGTGAACTTGACCAGCTTCTCCGGCTCCTCCAGCTCGGCCAGGATCTCGTGCAGAGTCAGCGGCATCTGCAGTCGCGGCACGCCGCTGCCGCCCGCCCCGCCCTGCGGGGAGACACGGAGCCGATCACCCGTCGCGCTCCGGTACCTCGGGCAGCGTGCTGTATTCAAAATCATCGTTTAAATCGTATTATTTCTAAATCGCTGTATTTTACACATAACATTTCAGCCAGGTTCAGATATCTTCTTCAGTTCAAATCGACACCACAGAGGTTCGCCGGAAAGACAGACATTGAAAACACTCATGCAAACCAAAGTACACTTAACATGGCAGCACATATAGATGCATCTTACTTTGGCACATACGAATCACACTAGGTCTGGCCGAGATGCTGTTCTAGTCCTTCTTTAAAGACCCATCTGGCTGACCTTTAATCTCGACGGGCAATGAATTGAACGGAGATGCACAATCCGTCCGCCCGCATTTCCGTGGTTTCGAGGTAGGCTAAGGCTTGTGTACTGCCGCTCGTTGCGTACTCTCTCCGGGTTATACTACCAGCTATTCGGCTATGGCTTTGGACTCTCCGGTTGTCAAAATTCGTTGAAGTGGACAAAGTGTATGGGACACCGCAATGTGACGGGCAGACAGGCCCTTGAGCACGCGAAGTGTATCGCTGACAAGCCCGCCTCCCGACGGCAGCCACCAGCCTCAGCCCCGCCTCCCGACGGCAGCCGCCAGACACAGCCCGCCTCCCGATGGCAGCCGCCAGGCACAGCCCGCCTCCCGACGGCAGCCGCCAGACACAGCCCGCCTCCCGACGGCAGCCGCCAGGCACAGCCCGCCTCCCGACGGCAGCCGCCAGCCACAGCCCGCCTCCCGACGGCAGCAGCCAGACACAGCCCGCCTCCCGACGGCAGCCGCCAGACACAGCCCGCCTCCCGACGGCAGCCAACAGACACAGCCCGCCTCCTGACGGCAGCCGTTGAGCCCTACCTGCGCCATGCTGGCGGCCGCCCTGCCTTCGACGAACTCTTTGAGCGAGCACTTCTGCGCAGGCAGCGGCCGCTGCAGCGAGCAGGCGGAGCATGCCCAGCTGACGACGCTGGCCGCCAGGTCCGAACACGCCAGGTGGGTGCCTGCCGAGCCGCACGTGTCGCACACGCACAGCCGCCACGGGCTACTGGGGCAGAGGCGTCAGGTCACAGGCGTCGGAACAGGGGGGGGGGGGGGCAGGCTTCGGGTGACAGGCATCGAGCCAGAGACGTCGGGTCAGAGGCGTCGAAACAGAGGGGGCGGGTCGGAGGGGGCGGGTCAGAGGCGTCGAGTCAGAGGTGGCCGGTCAGAAGGGACAGGTCAGAGGCGTCGAGTCAGAGGCGTCGAGTCAGAGGCGTCGGGTCAGAGGCGTTGGGTCAGAGGCGTCGGGTCAGAGGCGTCGGGTCAGAGGGGCGGGTGAGAGGGGCGGGTCAGAGGCGTTGAGTTAAAGGCATCGGATCTCATGCGGTCGAGTCAAAAGTATCGGGTCAGAGGCGTCAGGTTCGAGGCATTGGATCAGCTTGAGCTGGGCCCCAGCGGGCAAACCAGGCTACGACGAGCACGCACGAAATACATGAACACCCTAGTCTGGGATGCTGCTCATAAGATAAAAACTCCGATTGCTAGTGCGTTGGTGGAGCAGCGGCACCATTTTCACGAGACTGATCAATCATATTGCTCTAACATTTTATGGTCGCCTGCAAGCCATGGATACTAACGACAGTGTACCTGCATTCCGAGTGTTGGTGCTTTGATGACACCAAATCAATCCCAAACAAGTTCTCAACAACCTGGCACGCGGAGTAGCAACATACTATACCATCTCTCTGGGCCCCACCTATCGTCCTCGCTGTCCTGGTGAGCCCTGCCCCGGCTGCATAGGCAGTAGCGCACGTCACACATCAGGTGTCGTTCAAGCAGCTCACCAAACGCGTTCGGCACCATTTCCCAGCTGGCGTCCCTGTAGTCGGCCGGTGGAAGCGCCCGTGAACAAAACCGTGGGCAGTGACATCACACTCACGCCAGGGACGGTCACGTCACTCATGTCTAACACAATGACGTCACACTTATCCTCCAAACACACAGAACAAGAGGGTGGTCCGTCACGACAAGGGAATAATCCGTCACAAGGGGCGGTCTGTCACAAGAGAGCGGTCCGTCATGACAAGGGAACAATCCGTTACGACAAGGGAGCGGCCCGTCACAACAAGGGAAATGTCCGTCACAATAACGAAGCGGTCCGTCACGACAAGGGGACAATACGTCACAAGGGCGAGTGGTCGGTTACAAGGGAGCGGTCCGTCACGACAAGGGAATAGAACGTTACAATGGCACAATCCGTCACAATGGAGCGGCCCGTCATGACAAGAAAGCGGTCCGTTACGACGAGGGAGCGGTCCGTCACAACAAGAAAACGGTCCGTCACAAGGGTGCGTTCCGTCACAAGGGAGCGGTCCGTCACGACAAAGGTGCGCTCCGTCACAAGGGAGCGGTCCGTCACGACACGGGAGCGGTCCGTCACGACACGGGAGCGGTCCGTCACGACACGGGAGCGGTCCGTCACGACACGGGAGCGGTCCGTCACGACACGGGAGCGGTCCGTCACGACACGGGAGCGGTCCGTCACGACACGGGAGCGGTCCGTCACGACACGGGAGCGGTCCGTCACGACACGGGAGCGGTCCGTCACAAGGGAGCGGTCCGTCACAAGGGAGTGGTTCGTCATGAAAAGGGAGCGGTCCGTCACGACACTGGAGCGGTCCGTCACAAGGAAGCGGTCCGTCACGACAAGGGAGCGGTCCGTCACAAGGGATTGGTCCGTTAACACAAGAAAGGGATCCGTTACGATAATGGAACGGTCCGTCACAAGCTCCGGCAGCGTCCTAGGGCGCCGGCCTGCTCTCTGTTAACACCAGCAGAGCGGAGGGTGGTGCCGGTGGTGTAGTGGTTAACGCTTCTGCGTCAATACCCCCGCGTCTGGGGAACCAAAGGTACGGGGTTCCATTCCCCGCGGTGCCCGCCCTTCCTGCAGCGAGTGCGTCATGAAGCTCCAATGACAATGACAAAGCACGAGGTCTCGACGTGTTCATGAAACACGACACGGCTCGGTTGCGGCTCAAATGCACTCACACCAGCATGCCAAAGCACGGCACTTCTCAAACAATGTCAGGGATTTACACATCAGTGAGCCTCTTTGCTTACCTTTACACATGGCGGGTACTATTACTGCTAACAGCTATTAGAAAGGCTTATAATGACAGTCTGACCAACTTTACTCAAATTTTTATAATTGTCATGCATCTTTATTAATGCCTCCCGCTATGTTGCTCGTAATACACAAAGTGAGGCAATCTCATCGGTAAATTTTAGATCACTTAACACAGACGAGCAAAGCCACATACTGGGATGCATAGAATCTTTCTCCACACTGTCATAACACAAAACACGTTGGTGTTAAACCAGGAGGCCACCAGCATCGGGGAAAGCATCACCTCTTCGGGATAAAGATTCCAAAGTGTCGCATGTGTTTCAAAAACCCGCTGATGTTGTCCTTGTTCCTGCATCCTGGGCAATAGAAAAAGTATCCAAAATGGTACGCCATTCTCTGAAAAAGATACGTGCATTAGGAGCCGGGATCACAACAAACTATGTTCCTTACACCTAGGCAGAAGACGGTGTTGATGGCAATATTCCGCATTGGACATTTTTTCACTTAATTAAGAAGACTCCTACACCTAGCTGCCCGTTATGCACCACGCTAATTTATGTGGTGCAACATCGCTTAGTCATAGCAAATATTTTGTCCGGTAGAGTGGATGCTTCACAATGTGTTTCCACGCAGCATGTTTGATGTTCTACACGAGCGGAACTAGAAGCCCAAGTGATGAGCCATGCCATTTAACTAATCGTTCTATGTCGAAGTTCTCTGTCTACAGTTCTCTAACCAACAAGTGGTCAACATACAGCACTCCCAGCACTGACATCAATCCATCACTCTGGCACATGGCGCCGCCGCGCCCCGCCCCCCCCCCCCCCTCCCCCCCGCCGCCAACCTGGAGACAGGGCCTGTGGAAGAAGTGTCGGCAGCAGGGCGTCCACAGCACGTTGTACGCGTCGTCCGGGTTGGTGCGCTCGAGACAGATGCCGCAGTTCTCGCCCGCCTCTCGGCCCACCACGTTTTGGCGCGGCCGATGCTCCTCGCAGAACGACCTGCAGGGGCCGGCCGACGGCGGGGTCATCCAGACAGCCACGGCGGCTCACGTTCGGCTCACGCTCGGCTCACGCTTGGCTCAGGCCCAGCTCACCCTCGGCTCACTTTCGGCTCTGGCTAATCTCGCGCTCGGCTCACGCTAGACTCAGGCTTAGCTCACGCTCGGCTCCCGCTCAGCTCACGCTCGGCTCCCGCTCAGCTCACGCTCGGCTTCCGCTCGGCTCATGCTCGGCTCACACTCGGCTCATGCTCGGCTTACGCTCGGCTCATGCATGGCTCGCACGTCACCGTCACCCGGACACAGCGCCATCGGACGGCAAGATTACTCACCGACTGATGTGGTCATGGCAGCTGCGACCGTTCACACGGAAGCCGTCGTGCAAAGCTCCCGGGTCCCCGGTTCCAACTCGGCGTTGTGAAGCGTACTGCAGACTCAATCACCCACAACTCGGCCCACCGCGCGTCCCACAGGATCAACTCACTTGAACTGCCCGAAGAACTGCAGCAGCCCGTTGGCCTGCACGGCGCAGCCCACGTGGTAGTGTTTCTTGCACTTCATGCTCATACATAGGCCAGAGGCACCTCCCTTGTTGCAGAAATAGCATATCTGACGGGATCAGGAAAACCCCGTCACACATGCACTGGGTAACCAGCGATCAGCAAGCTATGGCTCTGACGAATCGCTGCAACTACCTGGCCTTTGTTTTTCGCGCAAGCAGAAACAGCAACTCCCATCATTTCACTTATGTAAGCGGCAGAACAAAGAAAAAACGAAACAAAAAAACAACATTTGGGGTATCTAGGCAGCTGAGTTGGAAAACTAGCAAACTTCACTGTAGCTTTGCATACGATCAGAGACCTTTTGAACTCTCCATGACACTAAAATTGAGTGTTCCACATTTACATGGGCTTTGAGCTAAAATAGCCATCTTGAAGACCATTCGGTTCTGTTCACAATCCTCCCCTTCTCAAGACCTAAGCTCATAGCTTCTAAGCCACACACCCGCAAAAATGGAGAGTTATATCGGAGAGAGTATTTCAAAGGTACCTTGGCATTTATGACGTCACAATAATGTCATTCATCTCCAGTCGTTCTATAAGCCATGCAGCAAACAAGACCAAGAAAAATACCACCATCGAGGCGTTCATATCTGGCTTTCGTCAACACGAATTCCAGATATAGCGGCCGTCAACTGGCTGTCAATCAATGTTGTGTCAGGCATGATGATTTAATCAGCCATGACGCATCCAGCAGCATACTTACTTAGCTGAGAATTGTGTTGTCTAGAACACTGTTTTCCATTTAAAAGGGCACCAATAGTTTGAAGTGAGCTTGCTTCACCATATCAGAAGCTTTCTTCACTATCTCCAAAGGTGAAACATTCTTCTTAAGTACATACTGGCATGCATTGACACCACATTCATCAAATTCAAGGGAATCGAAGTCAAGGGCTTAATGAAAGCTGCAAGTGTGCAAAGTAGCTGCATCACATTACAATGCATAAAGTTTCCTTCGTTTTGCCCGCTCTTTATGCACCACTGTCATGCATCAGAATCCCAGTAAAATGGTACGTCCCAGCTCCGCGTCGCGTGGAGTCCAACTGCAACGTGAAGCAGTGAAACATTTTCCCCTCTCCGCTTTTGTAGGGGTTGAAGAGTGAATTTCAGTCACAATTTTGTCTTGTCTTAAGAGACGAAAACCTGGCAAACGTTTGAGCTCGGACCGAATTCTTCAACGCAGTGAACAGTTGCAACACATCGTCTCTGGTGCAATGTCACCAGTCGCCTGCTCCTCGTTGGCGCGGACCGAAAGCAGTCGGACGTCGGAGCCACATCGGGGTCGTACCACCAACATCCACAGAAACTCATACAGTGGATGTAGAGTGACTTCGACACCGACGCGCCACTCAACACCAAACTGTCACCGGAACCCCTCAAATTGTGCCTTCATTGGAGGCAGCTCCAACCACCTCGCGCCCGACGCCGCCCTCCCGCTCCACCCACCTCGCGCCCGATGTCGCCCTCCCGCCCCGGCCACCTCGCGCCCGATGCCGCCCTCCCGCCCCGGCCATCTCCCGCCCGATGCCGCCCTCCCGCTCCACCCACCTCGCGCCCGATGCCGCCCTCCCGCTCCGGCCACCTCACGCCCGATGCCGCCCTCCCGCTCCACCCACCTCGCGCCCGATGTCGCCCTCCCGCCCCGGCCACCTCGCGCCCGACGCCGCCCTCCCGCTCCACCCACCTCGCGCCCGATGCCGCCCTCCCGCTCCGGCCACCTCACGCCCGATGCCGCCCTCCCGCTCCACCCACCTCGCGCCCGATGTCGCCCTCCTGCCCCGGCCATCTCCCGCCCGATGCCGCCCTCCCGCTCCAGCCACCCCCCGCCCTCCCGCCCCGGCCACCTCCCGCCCGATGCCGCCACCTCCCGCTCGATGCCGCCCTCCCACCCCAGCCACCTCCTGCTTGAGTAACTCTCTGCCATCCAATGGCTACCCCTCCGTCAAGTTGGCTTACAGTGGAGGTGACTCTGGCCACCTCCGCCTTGATGTCGGCGGGGAGGAAGCCCTCGGCGCCCTCGTCGTCCTTGCCGTTCTGCGCCAGATGCGGCGAGAAGAGCTGGAATGTCACCAGACAGCTTACCATCAAATACATACAGCTCAGATTTGCAGGACCAACTGGTAGGGAATGCTGCTGTCCAAAGGCAAACAAAGCTTAAGTGTCCATTAAATAATGGCTCTTAGGCTTCTTTGCCTTTGGTTGGCAGAATACATATGGGAGATGGTGGCTGGTGTGCAAAAGACAGAATTGGATTTGAGACAGGCTTGAAAGACAGGGAGAATTTGGCTTTAGAAAATGTTTTCAGAATTGCTCTTTTTGCCAACAAAAACTACTCAAGACTGCATGATGCAGTTAAAGAGACAATTGCTTCCAGAAAGTGCAACAGGCAAACTGAAGCAACAAAGCTGCCAACCATTGGGTACAAGGAAGAAGCTGCAGAATTTTCTTATGGGGGGGGGGGGGGGGCACAGTGAAAACACATCACACCAATTTTTAACTCTTTATGGGAAGTCATCCATAGTGAAAAACAAAACACAAATCTAATTCTAAGGGGAAGGGGTGCACCCCTCCTGGTTGTACCCCTGGCAAGAAGTCAAGGATATTGTTGCTATTAACATGATTAACATTGTCATTCTGTGATGCCTTCAGTGATATAAGATAATGCTTTCATGTTGGATATGTGAAGTCATTTAATGGTGTGTGATGTCATGATGGCATCAAGTGCATGGAACTGGCTCATATGACCACATCATCCTTATCAGTCATTATGCAGATTGTACAGAAATCCCACAGCCACCCATAGTTGCGATCATACTGTGGCATGTAGATGCCATGCTCTACAGTTGAAGCAGTGTGATGATGACCTTATATTTTGTAGCATCCTGTATTGTGGTCACAATCAGGCAAGCATGCTACATGCATAAACCAAAATGAAAATTATGCAAAATCAATAGTTTTGGAAGGAATGACCCCTGCACAACACCTACCAAGCAAAAGTGATGCGCAGACACATCACCAACATTAAACAGCTGTCCAAACTTCAACTGATCATCTTGCTGGATGCCACAGAGGCAGCATGATGAGCTCCCAGTATTATCCATGATGAGTTCTTGCAATTAACCTTGAGCAAAACCTGAAATAATGATTATGTGAGTCTGCAGGCAATGCAACCAGACAAGCTGCCATTCAATCATGTGCTGCAAGACAGAGGATTTATTACAAAAACAAATGGTGGGAAGAAAAGCATGATTTGGTGATGGACTGGTGATGACTCAGCCTTCTGCTGCTGCAAACAGCTTGCACAACCTCTTGATGTCATACACTCCTTAAATGTTATTTCCCTGCCATATATGTGCCTGTCTTCTTATGAACAAGCAGAATGTGACCCCCAGCAAATACAGCTATTATGCATGTCTTGCACAACATCTATATCTGCCTATTGCTATAATGCAACTAAGGCATAATTTCCATTGAGGTGAGTATCCCCTAAAAAAGGAAAAAGAAACTATTTCTGAGGAACTATATGAGCCAGTGGGAGATGTTCTTTATATCTATATTGCTAGTTCTTCACATGCAACCTATGCAGCAGCACAGCACAGAAGCTTCACAGGACCAGTGGATGCCAGTAGACAAACACCAAACACTTTCTTTTGGATATCATATTCATTTATCAAGCTATGATCACAAGCAGCTATATTTGATAACAGGAGATGCATGACATAAAAAGCCCTTCTGCTGCAGGAACTACAAAGCACCCAATCCAAGATGTAAGCTTTCTACTGTGTAAAAAAACAACTGAAAAACATGTCAGTTGTGTCAGCATTTTTGCATCTGTACTTCAATATTGTCATTAGACAAGCTATGAATTGGCAATAATTATAAATGCCCACACTTGCTTGTTATAATCCCAACATGTAGACAACATATTACTGAGTTATCCCTAATTAACCTGCATATTAGGGTCTGAACAGGGAATTATTACTGCACAATAATTATACTGCACTATCACTTCCTAATCAAATGATTCTGCTTCTAAACAAGAGAGAAATATGATCATTTCTTGCTGCATCAAACATTGATGACACATGGATCCAATGGTCTTGCTCCTGTATCAAACAGGTATAGGTATGTACACACCTTTGTATGCTTTAGGAGATGCTACATGTGGCTTTAACCAATCAAAGAAAAGCAAGAGATGCTAAAGAACTCAATTTTAGTTTGAAAATCCTTTTTAATTCATTGCTGCAATTTCCCTGTATCTTCTTAACTTCCCATGCTGGTATTCTCCATGCTGACAACCTGGATAGTGGGAAATTGACATGGAAATGAAAACTAACTACAACTACAGAACACTCATGTTAGATAATTTTCAAATCAGGCACCACAATGCATTCGACCCACTCAGCATCGCGGACACATCTTGCACGCATAACCAAACCTGTTGTCTAACACGCTAGCTGTTTCTCATGTTATTTTAAGAGATACCGCTGGTCTTCAATCAGGTCCGAGTTCTCTCCGCCCGCCGCATCCGGTCTTTCCAGCAGCATCTTCAAATGGCTCGCATTATGCTGTCCTCGCAACTGAGAGTTACCACCCCCTCAAAACTTACGAACCGCCGGAACCTCATGTGCGCATTCCCGCGGCTTTTAGAGCCGTGAACAGCGATACGCGAAAACGATGCTGACAATGGCGCAGAGTTGGAAGGACGCAACTAAACAGCTGGTTCCTAAGCTGATATGTAGTTTCCCCGACACTCTGCTTTTCAACTGTTGCTTGCTAAATAGATCAACTGCCGTCAAACATTATCTATACAATCTACAGCACACTTACTCGCGCATCAGCTTGCTCCCTCATCTACGCAAACATGCAAGCCAGCATGAGCGCAATGCAGAGATCAGCTGATAGTCCGTACAGTAGCGTGCACAACTGTCTTTTTCGCGCCAATTTATTTATCGTCGTTATTTATTCCTTGATTTGGTCGACCCTTGTCCGCATTTTGCACATTTCCAAGGCCATTGAACGGGTTTCGTGCGATACTTATGCGGCCTTGGGTAGTCTATTTGGACTTGTTAAAAGGAAGCTGTCATTTCTCGCATTTGCTTGCGTAGGGCCGTATGTGCTTGTGCGTTAGGCGCGTGTACACCGGTTACAACATTGTAGACAACTAAGTGCATGGAAGTGAAGTGCGTCCGCCTTGGGATGCACTGGTGTATTTTATAGGAGTGCAAATTTTTTCACTCCTTTGTCAGCAGACTTGTCTTGTGCACACTTTGGAAGGCTTAAGTTACCAGGTGTGTATCTAATTTGTGTTCAGTATGGTCAAGTGTGGCATTGGTGGCACATTAAAGCAGTGTCTCCCATTCCAGAAAACATGAGTCAAATTAGCAGCATATTTGGCAGCAGCAGATTTAGCTAATGATATCTGACTACCATTTGGATATTGCAGGGGCATCACAATCATCTTTTTTCACTGTTTGCTTGCATGGGACAGTTTGTCCTTATTTACTAAGCTTGTGTACACTGTCTAAAATGTTGTAAAGAACCAAGAGTATAAAAGTACTTGAATGTTTTTGCTGTGGGTTGCACTGTGGCATTTCATAGAAGGTCTCTCCCTTCTTTCTGTCAGTCTTGTCTTGTACCCAATTTGGAAGGCTTGAATTATCAGACATGTATCTAATATGCTTTCAGTATGGTCAACTGTGGTATGGGTGGCACACCAAAGCCATGCTTCTTGTTCTGGAAAGACATCAGTCAGTCTAGCAGCAGATTGAGATTTGACTGTCAGTTGGATATGGGGCATCACATCCAAATTTGGTATGCAGGATCTTCTCCATGTGCTAATTTCAAGAATTGTAGGTTGTGGGGTAAGATTTTGTGAAGTTCCTCATTACAGTGTGTGATATCACCAACCTAATTTGTGGGGGTCCAGATTGCCTCCAGATTTGGCATTTGGTGTTAAAGGCCTTTCAGTACACTGACTCCTAACATAAAATCCTGGATGTGGGGTATTTTCCACACAGACTTAGAGGCTTGGTTACCTCCAAATTTGGCATGCAGGGCCTTCCTAATACATTGCTTTCAAAAATCAAAGATTTTGGGTGAGATTTTGCATAACTTCCAAGAAGAAAACTGTGACATGCCAAGCATGCCAGGCCAGGTCTTGTGGAGCATCTTGAATGACTCCAAATTTGGTTCGTGGTGACACACCTGGGTGGTTGTTTGCTTGGGTGGGGGGTCAATTTAGCCCCCCCTGAGATTTCAGAAACTAAAAGAGCTAGAGGCACCAAATTTACAGGGTATGTTGACTTGTATGTGAACTCCTTTAGGTCAAAGTTTGAGGTTCCTAGATCAGATAACATCAAACAATGACAGATTCCAGGTTGGTTTCCAAAGTGTCCCTAGAACCTAAATAACTTTTTAAGCAAAAGGTCACATGCTCATTTAAGGTCAGTGGCCTTGCTTGACCTTTTGAAGGTCATGGTGACAAAAATAGTACAATATTGCTTTTGTTTTGCATTTGAACGAGCGACAAAGGTAACATTAGGCAGTATGCCCCCCAAAACAAGATGTTGACCTGGGTCATTTGAGGTCCGTGACCTATTCTGACTTTCAAGCCCACAGAAAGTGTATAATGTGGTTCCTATGAGCAAATTCCTATTTCAAATGAGCACCAGAAACTGCCCTTTACAGCAAGCTCTAGAGTAATAAAACAGGTTGGTTTTGACCTTCAGCTGATCTTGATACCTTGCCATGGGTCAATGCAATGTGTTAATTCAATTGTGTTGCCTAAGAAAGGATCTCAGAGATGTATGGCTTTATCTAACACTCCATTGTTGGATCAGATCGAAAGATTTCCGAGAAATTGCATTCGCGGAAACCATGGCCTGATTTTGCTCTGCCATAGGTCTGTGACCTTACCAGGAACATTTTAATTTTTGATGCCGATGATCTGCTATTCATTTGTCTACAGCTATGCAAAATTTGGCGTGACCGCGCTGCGCCGTTCGGAAACCACTCCGGAAACACCTTCGGGGGTCAATTTGACCCCTCACTGAGCACGTGTTAAAAAGTGAGAAGGCCCTGCATGCTAATGGAGGCAATCAGCCACCCCACTTCATCAAACTGGTGATATTGCAAATCTTGTGACTTGAAATGTTTGCCAAATCCCACTCTGAAACATAGGATTTCTTAAACCAGTGGTCACAAAGGACCACACCAAATTTGAAAGCAAGAAAGGCAAAGAACTTCTCTGCAAAGTCAAACCAGTGTGTTCTGTGTCTTGTAACTCACAAGAATCCATCTCAAAGGCAGTGATTTTTGGAATCAGCATGCTAAGAAGGCCTTGCTTACCCAATATGGAGGCAATCAAGACACCTCACAATATCAACCTGGCATGTTACAAGCTTTGCAACTCCGAAGCCACACAAAATCCCACCTTGAAGGCAGTGATTTCTGGAATCAGCATGTTAAGAAGACCCTGCTCACCATATTTAGAGAAATTATGCCTAACAATTTCAAAGCGTCATGTACGACATCTTGTAACTCAGAAGTTTACAAAATCCCACCACAATGACTATTATTTTTGGAGTCAGCATGTCAAGAAGATTCTGCACACTAAATTTTGCCAAGAAGATTCTGTGAAGAATCATGATCATTTTGAAGAATCATGTCAAGAAGATTCTGCGCACCAAATTTTCAGGCGATCATGGTGCTTCCCAATGTCCCACTGGCAGTTGGGTATCAGTCTGCTGCCAGACTGATGAATGTTCAAGAACATGACCTCATGCGAATAGGGGCTGCCTTATTCAGAACAGGATGCTTTCAGTTCATGAAAGGGGCTGGTCAAGTCCAGATCTAGTCAAGTGACCTCATAATCCCAAAACAGGGTTGCTGAGCTAGAACCACAACTGTGTGATGTGTGAAAGGGGCCTGCTGTTTCAGAAATGGGGCATCCTGAGCTTCGATAGCACCTCTTAGTGTTTAATGGGGCCTCCCTAACCAGCAAAGGGACCTCCGTACCACTGCATTGGGCCTCCTGATCTAGAGCATGGACCACCATTTCCATGAAGAAGGACTCATGACCCAGAAAAGAGGCTTCTTGATGTAAAAGAGGGTCCTCTGAGCCCAAGTTTTGAACTACTCTAGCTCATTTATATGACCTTTTGAATGAATTTGGTAATCTACAGGTGTGAACAATTAATTGCACCTAAAAAAAAAAAAAAATAGGGGAAGCATACTCTTGCTCAACTGCCAGCAAACAGAGAGGAACAACTTCCCCCTCTGCAGGGAGGGACAGCTGCTCCTGCTCTGCCACCCCTGGCTGTCCAGTGGAAGGGGGTGCAAATCTAACGCAGGTTGTTTTCACCTTGTTTCACTTTGCACTGAGTGTTGCCCCAATTTTAAAGTCTTTTCTGTTTAGGGAGAATCTTGTAATTGTTTTCACATGATTCCCACCAGTCATGCTTCTAAACACAAATGTTATTGGTAGGTTAAGCCCTGATTAAGCTCACAATGGATCACAAACTTAGCAAAAGTCATAAGGAACAGGGGTCTTAGTATTCAACTGAAATTATTTAAGATAGCCAGATTTAATCTCCTCATTACCATATTGCTTTATGTACATATGGAGGGTGTTTTTTTCTATTTCTATTTTTCCTTTTTCTATTTGGGTCTATTTTTCCTCTTATGCCTGAGCTGCCTTGTATTAGTTTGTGACTGTTCACAGATCTGATCTCAGGTCTGATATGATTTCACATCTGTGCTCTAGCCGAGATGTCGCTCTACGACGACGTGGACACGGGCATGGACAAGAAGTCAGACCGGGTGCCTGGCTGGGGCAGCTCTAACATGAAGCTGCTGCAGTCGCAGCTGAAGCTGCGGAAGGCGGCCATCGGGCAGCCGCGCCGCGACCTCGTGCGCCGCGGCAACGTGCTGGCGCCCGTTATCGACCTCAAGGGCAAGCGGGACGACGACGACGTGCCGCCGGCCACTGCTGTCATGGCCATGCCTGGGGTGAGAGGGATGTGAATACCGCGGCGTCCGCTCTTTCTAGACGAGCCTAGTTTATAGAGGTGGCCAATTGCAAGACAGAGTCAACAGTCACGCAGCGTGTGTGTTTGCCGATGTTATCGGTGTGTGCTTGTGGGCATGTATTGGATGAGTACTGCCGTTTTGGGCGCATTGTTTAGGCGGTGGTTTGCATTTTCGATGATCATTTTGTGCCTCTCCAGCTCGGCCAAAGAGGCGGATTAAGGGGTCCTACGCAGTTCATATCGTTCGGGCCAGATTCCGATTTTAAGAATGAATATGATCCGCTGAAGCCCAATGATTATGAGAAGGTTGTTAAAGGTGAGTTTTTTTTTCAAATTTGTCGTGGTGAAGCCAGACTGTTGCTCGGTAATACAGTTATTCCATGATGCCTCAATTTGTGCTGAATAGTTCATGGACTGGGTGGAAAGCGCTAAGATGCTCGGCTCAGCTCACTGAAGATGCCTTTTCTCTGAAAGTTTTAAGTTCATCAGCCTGCCCCCTGTAAAGGATACAGTTATCCCTTTAGATCTGGAATGACCCTTGATGTTCTTTTCTTGTTGGCATGCGAAGGATTTACTACAAAATGTCGCTATTCCGTTCAGCTCTCGTCGAGCAAAAACTCGACCAAAGAAGACAAAGATGGCTTGCTTGAAGGACATGAACATAATTTGACTGTCTCGAAAGGTGTCCGAATTTTTCGTTTTCTTTCTTTTTAAACAGTTTTGTTCAGTGCTCATTTACACCTGAAAGTGAGTGCATGTACGTGTCACCAAGCAGATATTTTGTATTGATATAAGGGTTTGGCCTGTGGCGTCCGCTACAGAGATCCGACGTAAGAAGGAGCAGGACCGGGAGCGCGAGCGTCGTGAGCGGGAGCAGACGGCGCCACAGCGCGGCCTGGTGGGCAACTACAGCGACGACGAGGCGGAGGAGGAGGAGCGCAAGCGCAGCAGTAAGCGGCCCGGCGGCGCGACGCAAACCGGGCGCAGTGACCACTTAAAGGCGGGCAGCATGCGTGGAGAGGCGTCAACCACTGTTCGTAGGCGGTGTGAAGGTCTCTGCGCCTAAGGTTCTCCATCACATGATTGGTTTGCGTAACGTTCTACTCGGCTAGCAGCAACGATCTCATGTCTATCGGTCGTAAACATAGTTTCAGTGTCATTTACAGTTGATAGTTAAACAGTTAGAACAAGATGATGTCGCTCGAAATACCGCGGCGTATTCGCCGTGTGGTGAGCTCACGTGATTTGGTTTAAATATTGTACCGTGGAAAGCTCCCATATAATTTCCTCGATGAATTTGGATGCAGCATGTTCTGTACCAGGGTAGTTTATACGCACCGAACCCATTGTAACGAGTATCAGCTGGTGTCGCTGTACCTCTTCCAGAGCGTGGCTAGTTGACTCCCCCAACCGTCTTTAAAGGCATTGACAGTGCTTGGCTGGGCTGGGATACAGGCGGTTGGCACTGTAACTCACAAGGCCCACTCTTCACACCGAAGGTCCACTTCTCACACAGAAGCACTGCCGCGCTCTGTGCTTCTCGACTCTGTGAGAGTCGCTGTGTGGGCTCCGTGGTTCCCCAATCCTCTGCTCGTGTCGTACAACTCCGCTCTGTGGCGCCACTGGCCGTTCCGGGGCGCAATGGCCGAGTGGTTGGGGCCTTGGACTTCCACGTGGGGGCCCGGGTTCGAATCTCGATTGCACCATGGCCCTGAGCGTTGGTACAGTCAATGCGGTCGCTGGCGCTCTATGGCAGGAGCGTGGCGACATGCGTCGTGTTTCCCTGTATCTTAGAAATGCTTGTGACCGCTCCGCTAGCTCGCTTTGAACATCGCCGCCACTGACTGGCTGCGGCTGCCCACGCCCACCGCACTGGCTGTGTCGTGAGCCTTGGTGTGACGCGGCGCCTGTGACATGGGACTCAGCGTGACAGGACTGCTCTGCTGCGCGCCCGCGTGACGCCACTGTGCCGTTGTGACGCGGCGCGTGACCGCCCCGCGCGCAGGCTCGGTGGGCGTGGCCATCGCGCCACCGACGGCGCTGCAGGATCGGTCGGCATCGCCTCCGCTGCTGGCCGGCCTCGGGCCGCGGCCGCCCTCCTCCGGCGGCGGTGGCAGCATCGCCGCGCAGATCATGGCCAAATACGGATACAAGGTGGGCACGCGCGCTTCATGCTGCCCAGCACATGCACAGGTGTACTGCTGCGTGATAGCACGAGTCGGCCATCACGAACAAAGCCGGTGAATTGTCCTAAGCAGCAAATGTTATAGAATACGATTTTAGTCCAAGACGTATTTCGGTAAATTTCCTCTCCTAGTGTGTGTTGGGACAGAGCATCCAAATGTCGCCGAGCACTGACTCAAATTTACTACACTTTAATCCGTTGTAGAATGGTTTGGCGCTCCAGGCTGTCATGGATTCAATGAATTTAAGCACTGTTACTATGATGATGCGTCAGCAACCTACTGGTTTACGTTCACTCGTATAGTTGAGGTATAGTTTGCTAAGTGATACCACCGTTAGCTAACAGCTGGGTGACTAACCGTTCGTCGTGGAACTCGTTCCGTACAGCGCTGGACTCGCCACAAATAGTTGGAAAGTCATAAATCGTGGAGTAAGTCATGCTCAATTCATACCAATATGTCAATCGCAGCGGTGTGCTCGAACTGCTGGCAAGGGCCGCGCTGGTCTTCAAAGCTGCAGTGCCTCCGAACACCCTGGATCAGCACCAGTGTGTCGGCCAGTCGCTGCCTGTGTGCCGCCGGCGGTGTGTGCGGGCCAGCCACGCCTCGTGTGACGGTGCTCGGGCTGTCGGCAGGAGGGCCAGGGCCTAGGCAAGGCGGGCCAGGGCATCGCGCGCGCGCTGGCCGTCGAGAAGACGTCGAAGCGCGGCGGTCGGATCATCCACGAGCGCGAAGTGCCGGGGCCGGGCACGCCGCCGGGCGCCGACCTGATGCCGCCGCCGCCGCCACCGCCCGCCCAGCCTACGATGGCCGACATTCTGCGCAACCCTACCAAGATCGTCATGCTCCGGGTGGGTGGTGTGCGCCAACCGCGGCAGGCGCGCGGCTCGTCCGAGGCAGGACTGTGGGGACTCGTTCCCGGCCGTGCTGGGGATCTGATGGGACGTGGCAGTCCTGCCTGTCACGCCCAAGTCGAGGATGTGATGCACAAACTGACGGCCATCACAGTGAGGACGGGGTGAGGAAACCCTGTCGGCGATCGGTGTAGCCAGTGACACCCTTTCATCGGCCAAATGGTGTAGGCAGTGATATAATGTGTGGAAACGCTGCCAGTCGTCTGGGTAAGACTGGGTCCGGCGCGGTATACTGCGCTGACGCCCGTCCGGCCTCCACAGAACATGGTGGGCGCCGGCGAGGTGGATGACGAGCTGGAGGCCGAGGTGAAGGAGGAGTGCAGCACGAAGTACGGCGAGGTGGTCAAAGTCACCATCTTGGAGGTGGCCGGTGCCCAGGATGTCGAGGCCGTCCGGATCTTCGTCGAGTTCAAACGAGTGGAGAACTCAATCAAAGGTGCGTGGTGCCGCGGGAGACGCTGAATGATGAATGCAAAGAAGCGGCTGTTGGGCCGCAAATTTATAGGCGTGGTGAAAATCGAATTTCTTCTGAGTCGGAGACTTCCTCGACGTGATTGGTTTGTGGGACGTTGATTTTCTAGCAAAGCCTTTCAGCGCGGGCGCCATTTGAGGCATGATCACTTGGTGACTGAACATGGCGTGCAGGTCAGCACACTTTGTCCCGCTCCCTGTCAGCCACAAGACCCCGCTGAGACCCCGCTAGGCCAGACAGGCACCTCGTTCCGTCGCGATATCAGCTGATCCGCGACCCCGCCTCAGCACGTTGTCGGTCTGGACGGCACCTGTTTGAACGTTAGCTGATATGAACGGCACCTCTGAGCGCGCAGTCGATTCTTCAGCGCTGGTTGACCTGAACGACGCCTGTCTTTTAGTGGTGTTCGAGCCAACCACACCTCCGTTTCAGCATCAAAATTGACGCGTCCGTTCAGCACTGGTTGATCTGGGCCACACCTCTGTGCTTCTGCGCATGGTTGACCTGAGCGGCTGCCCCGTTTCAGCGCTGGTCGACCTGAACGGCCGCTTCTTCGGCGGACGGCAGGTGAAGGCCCGCTTCTACCAGCAGGACCACTACGACGAGCTGGAGCTGAACGAACCGGTGCCGTGAACCTTGGCAGCCGATCGTTACCACTGTTTATCACATGTTTCTCTCATCGTCGTCGCCTGGTGGCGAGCCGCCGCCCGCGTAATACAACGGAAAACGCTAGAAAGCCCTGTGTATCTGGCGCCACGCAGAGGGGCACTGCCGGAGCCTGACGGGGGCAGGTGGTCTGCTCTGTTATCTGAATCGTAGGTTTTGAGCAATTCCACAGGCAGTTTGCATGTGTTTCCACCCATGCTGTCACTGGTGCCACCACTCGCACACCTGACAAATTCACCACAATAAAACAAAGCAGGTAGAAATTTCAAGATGTATTGCGCCAAAGCACTCCGAATCGGGTCTTAATCCTTGCGCGATTGTGGGCATCGTACCAAACTCCAGCGTTCACGATCATTACGCGCCGCAGCGAGTTCGAAGGCATAGCAACCATTCCAGCCGGCTCTGTTCCAGTCCAATGGAAATACATCAAGATAGCTCGCGCCGAATAGGCGGATCAGTTGGCACGGGAGGGACACGACATCAGTCGCACGACACGTCACCCCGGCAGCCGGCACCGATCGACAGCTGTCCGCAGTGGGTCAAATAAGTTCGGAGGAATAACTACTGTAAATTGTACTGAACGGTTTACTCCAACTATGCATGGCCTGAAATGGCCGAACGAAAAGGTGAAAACCAAAGTATTTATGAAACAACGCAGCAGGGTTAAAAGCATCACAGGTGTTTTCATGAGTCACAGTTGGATTACAAACGCCGCCAGAAAATTCTTTGAACAGGTCAGACAATTAAGCATTCGTCCTACGTACGTCACGGAACACTATCGATGTCTATGTGTACCTTCGTGGTTGAGCCTCACTTGTAAACACACCAGTCGCTCAAGTGTAGTTCGTGTCTGAGTCGGGCCTTAGAGCCACAATGAACAGCACTCCCAACAGTTACACGTGGCGTGGTCAAAACAAACATGTCAGGCCATTCATTCAGGAAAAAGTAGTGGCAACAGCAGCAACGGACAATCCGTGGCACCAAGTAGCATAAATTTTAAACAAAGTGTGGCATGCAACAAAAACATATTAACAAGTTAAAGTTTTAACAATCAGGAGAATCAAAATCCTTGTTTGGAACAGCTCAAAACACGACAGAACGTGGATTGCCAGCAGCCCAAAAGAACAACTGAGTCACAAGCCTTTTGCAGCAGGACAAGACAAGGGCCAGGACCACCCAAGGGCACAAATCATCCATTCGTAGGGTTCTGCGAGTCAGATCCGTGCGTCAGGGACGTCTTCGAGAAGCCGTCAGCTGCCCACTGCCACCGCGCCCATCCCCAGGCCCAGCCAGCCGGCGGTCCCCGTCCAGGAGCACGTGATTCGACTGGGTTCGGTTTCGTTTCTCGGGTTCCACACCCACCGGCTGTGCGCGATCGTGGCTGGCGCGAGAGCACGCCGCTGGGAGGAGTCGGCGCTGTTCGGCTTCCAGGGAATTCGGTCGGGAAGCGGATTGCGCAGGCCCGCCCACGATTCGTTCAGCCCATCCATCAGCCACCTGTCGTCGGCGATCGGAACTTCGCCTGCCGGTTCGCGCCGTTCGGCGTCGTGTCCGTCGGCGTCCGGATGGTCCAGCCGCTGGCGGCCGTCGGGACGATCCGCGTCGCCACCGGCGGTCTGCTGGTCGTCCGGCTGCTGGTCGGTCAGCGGCGCTAGCCCGGCCAGCAGCAGCAGGCTGGAGGAGGCGGCGGCCGCGCACAGCTGCCCCACGAGCGCACCCGGAGAACGGGGCGCCTCGGCCGCCGGTCGGGCGACGAACACGGCCGGCGGCGGCGGCGGCGGCGAGCTGGGCGCCGGCGCGTGGAATACCAGTAGTACGGAGCTCATCAGCGTGAGGACCGAAGCCAGGTACGCCACCGAGCACACGGCCACCACCTGCCGACAGGCAGGCCGAAGGTCAGCGACTGGGCTGGGTCCACGGAAAAACAGGCATTAATGAACTGGGCCCCATTCGCACTCCCAAGCGCTGTTCAAAAGCTGCCACTCGTGACATCACCGGCAAGTGCCTCACAACAGTACGCATGCATTGTAGTACAGTCGCTCATGTGACTTGGCCACCTGTGACGTCCTTGGTCCAACCATCACGTTAGCATGTTGCCAATGAAGAACTGGGTTCGGTTGTAGCTGCATCAATGGCGAAAATAGTCAGGTCCCAGTCGCCAAACCAAATTCGCCGAAAAAAAAACGCCCAATTGGTGGTGATACACAACTAAGGCGGACGAAACGGCACGGCACGGCACGGCACGGCAGCCGGCGCCTCCCACCTTGAGTAGGGCGTCGCGCAGCAGGGTGAGCGTAAACTGCAGGTTGGAAACGCCCCCGACGGCCAGCAGGTCGGCGTATGTCAGCCAGCCGCGCCGCGACGACTCGGCCAGCGCGGCGGCCGCCTCCACGCGGGAAAGCATGTTGGCGAAGCAGTCCGGCGACACGAACAGTTCCCAGTTCTGCGCGCGCCGGGAGTGACCAGTCAGGCTGGGACTGGGCGATGGATGCCGCGTGGCAAAGTGACATCCTAACATATGCCCTGACGGAATGCCATAGAGACAGCACGAGCACATGCTCGTACTAGCATACTTACATTCAAAGCACATGCGGTGCAGTGCTTAGCTGTTGGCATCAAACCCATCGCTACACATGAGATCTACGTCCCGGTGAGGACAACACCAAACACAGAGACAACAGGTATCACAGCGGTCTCCGCACGGAGATATCCGTGCCACCTAGACGTTAGAACGCCTTATACCAACGTCTCCAGCAGCAGCACACACATCAAACGCCGCCTGACGGTCGGCCGGCAGCCCCCCCCCCCCCCCCCCCGAGTCCGGCGAGGGCGGACGCACCATGGCGGAGAGGAAGTCGATCTCGGCTGCGTTGAGCTCGGTCACACTCAGCCCGGCCGAGGCGGCCCACTCGTCATTGAACACCTGCTCCCGCTCGCCGTCGTCGTACAAGAACTTGCTAGCGGTCAGCTGCCGGACCCAGGGGCGGGCCATCATCTGTCAGTTCACACCTGCCTGACACATCACTGGCAGCGTCCGCCTGGCGGGCGTCCGGCTGCACAAATGGCGCGCCATGCGCAGCACGGTGATTTTTTCTTCAAATATGACAACGCCTTTAAAATTGTAATCATAACAGTACTGATGCAAACCCATATAACCTCACAAGATGGCACAAAACTCACAACGGCTAACACAGGAACAGTGACAGACTCATTTCGTCTCGACGCGTGGAGCGCCGCAGTGCCCGAGCGCGTACCGCGGACGTGACGAACAGCTGCTTGGGGTGCGTGCGCTGCAGGTAGTCGGGCCGGAGAACGGCCAGCCGCTCCAGGTAGACCATGGCCATTACGAGCGCCGCCGGCGAGATGCAGGCATGGTGGCTGATCCAGCTGACGTCGCGCACGTCCAGCGAGCGGAGCCGACCGGGTCGGCCGGAGAACACGCGGCTCGCCGCCGCTGCCGACGCGCGGGGTGCGAGTCAGCGGCCGCCGCGGGACACACCCACCTCTGGGCGGATTCGCAGGGTGGCGCCACACATCAAGTCCGCGCAGCAGAAGTTTGACGCTAAATTTCATGAAATTTGGGTATACTACCTTCTGCCCCTCAGTCACTTTTTGCTGTCCTCAAATGCCACTAACGCTATCAACAATGCCGGCCGCCGAGATGCGGGCAGTGGAAACTACTATGCACAACACACCATAACTGACCACAATTATCACAAACAGCTTAAAGAAGGCACCTTGTCACTTTTCAAGCCTGTCATGTCATACACTGCAGCTGCCTAAAACAGCCCTCATCTGCTGAAATGAGAATCCCAGTCACTGTTTAAGCAAATAATGTTCCACATCATGGCTGCCTTGAATTGTCCTCATCTGCTTCAAAGATGTGAACAGAATGTTCCACATTTCAAGATGATAAAGCAAACACCATGTATGACGATTTAACCTCACTTCAACTAGTGGTAAACTTTTAACCAGAAAAGACTGCTCTGGACAACACAATTTCTCAGTCCAGTAATTATGCTCCACATTATGTCATTGTTTAATTGTCATAAAACATTTATATGATATTGAGGTGTGCCAACTAGCCGTGCAAAACTGTCGCACTATCACTCACTTGTAGTACTTCGATCTTGCCAAGAGATAGCAGTGGCGGTACTGGAAGTGTCTGCTCAGCCAAAATATCGTTGTATATCCCTATTAAGTTAAGTATCCCACCACTATCCATTCCCCCTTCATCCCATAGCCCTGAAATGGTCAGCACTGGTCGAGAGGACTTTTATCCAGAGACCAACAACCAACCAAACGTGATTCATGATTGAAGCTGGCAAAACTCGCTTAAAATTGATTGAAAGCCAATTAATGTTCACTGCATTTGGAGATTGTGGTCAGGGACGTCAGATCTGAACAATTGGATGATAGCATTCTTCCTGGCCTTGAACACGGCCTGGCCTGTGATGGGGCGGCAGGTTTGAATGGCATTCCTTGGGCATCATGCATGCCTGAATGGCCTCGAAATAGTGTGCATGAAGTGGCCTGCATATCTTTGTAGGCATGTAACTAAAAAATAGCATAACCTGCAGATCTTTGTAGGCATGTAACTCCGAAAAGTGGTTTTAGGGCTTGTAAAGGGCAGAGCTGCGAACTGCACGAAATTATCTTAAACAAAGCTATTTCAGTTCAAAATTCCATTTGGATGTGGAATGCTTCCTTTGAACCATTCATGCCACATGCCATAGCTGCCTAGAATTCCCCTGGTATGCATAAGACATGTACAATCATATTAACCCATTCAGGTCTCTTACATTCTCTGCCGTCCAAAGTCAAAAACACGTAACACACATTTTTCTGGAAATGAAATTATTGGTATTATTAGATTCGTCTCAGTGAGCCCCAAATTTTGACCTGGTGAGGTGCATGCTTAAGATTCAAGACTTAAAAGGGACATAAGGTTGGTAGATTCTCGCGTAAGAAGTGCCCGTTAAGTTGTCCAAAGACAAAAACGAGTAACTGGTGCGTAACTGTGCAACACGAGCCTCAATTTTCTCACGTACTTCGCTTTCAGGGTCCAAAACACGCCTCCGCCTACATACGACAACCACGATCAGTGTCAGTACTGTGTCAAAAGCGCGTATCTGCAAAGTTACACGTTTTTGCCATTATGAACTGTTGTAAATTGAGTAGTTATGCGTTCTTGCCGTTGGAAGATGTCTGTTCCTTTAAGTTGCTTCTAAAACTAAGCAAGTACGCGCACCTCCACGGGAGGGGCGGGGGAGGGGGAGTGCTGCCGTCATATTTGTGCGTTGAAGTGTTTGTCATACACTAGCAGGATAGCAGTTTTGGTGCGTTTACACCATGGGCCTTAACTACGGCTATTCATCACTAAGAAACTACCGTCATTCTGTCATGCACGACAGGTACGCCCAAGACCACGTCTGGCACTCTACGCCCAGCAGATGCTTAACTTTTGCGGAGATATCCTGGCCCTAAATTGGCTATGAATGAGACATGATGACATCCTTGCCTGGTTCAACGGAGCTCTTCAATCCGCCATACGATGCTCAGCAACAGCATAGAAAACGCATAACTGCGCGAATACTTGCTTTTGCCGAAATACGAGACGTTGCCAAGTCTCTTGTTACCACTGACAGAAACACGTATATTAGCAGATATGTTTACGCCCAGACACACCTTTTTACACTGATCACTGTTAGGTTTCAATGCTGCCTTCCCATGTCAAAAAACATCTTCAGCTGTTAAAGCTGTAGTTATCTTGAGTTATTTTCACTTTTATACTGGTAGATAAAGAATTGTTTTGCCTTCCAATTGGTGCAAATTTCGACTTATTGCTTCTTATCCATGATCATGACACCTAAATAACACAAAAACAGTCTCCTGAACAGAAATGAAATCGCCAGTTAAATGTTTTTGGCTTTTGAGGGCAGTTCTGTATGATAAACCAAGGAAATGGTTGTACATTCTGAACAACTTTTTAGCCCATTCATGTCACCCACATTCTGTCTGATAAATCAAGGAAAAAGTCAGGTTTGAAGTAATAATCATGGCATTGTCTTTGTGTGCCTACAAGAACAGCTTGATCGTGGCCACCTGTGCAGCTGCCTTTCCCACATGGTTAAACATCTGATTACAAACACATGATGCACTATTGTATGACAGTAATACAAAGTCTGTCATCATTCAAATCACAAGAGGGCATCAGTACAGTCATGACATTAACTTGAGTGATAGTTTTAGCAGAAGTAAACATCTTTGTGCATCTCTGAAAGCTGCACCATAATGCCAAAGCTCACAAAAGTTCAGTGTCATGATCTGTCATGCATCCCATCCTGAATTCTTGGAGCTGGTGACCATCTCATTGTACAATGAAGTTCCCCTGTCCAGTAGCATTGCTTGATGAACATCCATCAACCATTGTAAAAAAAGAGCAGTGAGTATTTCTTCTTATTGGTCAACATAAATAGCCAAGCCTCATCATAAAAACACTACCAATGCAAGAGAAATGCTAGCTAAAAGTGGGGTCATGATTGATAGGACAATTGCTCACAGTCTGTAACAGCACACTGTCCAAAACATGCAGGAGGGTAACAACAGCACAACTCAATGTAACAGATGACAGAGTGATGATAAATATCATGGTATGTCGAGTTCCATGCCACTCGATTTTCTTTTGTCAGGTCAGGTTACAGCTCAGTTGGGTCGGTTAAATACTACCAGGAAAAAACTGCTAACAGCATTGGTAAAATTGTGCTATCATTGTTACACAATGTTGCCACTTTGAGGAAAACAATTTCTCTTTTTAGAACTGGGACATGTTTTCATTGTGAGGCAGTGACCATGCACGTTAAAATACAGTGTGGGAAAAACCTCCGTTTTCTGGTGGATGTGGCACCAGGAAATTTTGTACTCCGGGCTTTTGACTGGCAAGAATGACAATTTTTGTACTCCAAATGCTGCAGTCCACCCCACAAAGCAAAGGCACCATTGCAAATGTATGAGACTGAGTATAGGTACCAAGGCAGACAGTTTTTCTTTCTTGATAGCCAGGAGGGTGCATGAACTTTGTTGTCATAAAGTGAGTTACAACATTTATTTGATTTCCAGGGAGCAAACATATGGAGCCCCAAGAAATGGAAACAAGCATCTGCAATCCTGCAGGAGCTGGTCAACCCAGGGTGTTCATGTCAATGTCCTTCATCATTGTATTACATGGGTTAGATGTACTTGTACAAGCCTATGCAACTCCTGAAGGGTGATGACATCTCATGTGAGCTACTTCTGTGGAAATGAAATAAGCTCAAATATGAAATGTGATTGTTTTAAGTACCTACCGCTGCCACATACCTCAGATGTCACCCGTGGGGAAAATATATGGCGCACCTGAGTAAGACCGCATTCCCCACGACGCACACACCTACCGATACCTTTTTCAAGAAACGGACGAACATATCACGGCGCCGGCTCCCACCACGCGACGAACCCATCGCCTCCCGTACCCAAAACTTATGGCAGCCCACCGTCCTGCAACTGACGAGTGCATTCTCGGGCAGTGAAGGTCCGCATCAGAACAAAAGGACACCTACAACAATATTCTTTCGACCGGAAAGCCACTAGCAGCACCAAAATCACCAATGAGTGTATCTAGTTCAACTAGATCATTCAAAGACTCGGAGAGCAAGAAGTCCGGGATGCCAACTATGCTGTTAACTTACCTCATGTTAAGAAAACATGTTAGCGATTTTACCAAAGGGCGTGCATTTTGCAAACAGTTTGGTGGGAAAATTTGAAAATGTTGCAGCAATGAACATCCTTTTCAAAGCACTTGTTTCATTCCTGCTCCTGCCATACCAACCACCAATCATCATCCAACTTGCAATTAAATTAAAAATAATAACATTCAAACACACCACATATCGGCACTTTTAAGAATCATGACATTAAATGACATCCAAATATCACGTTTGTGGGCGGCACTTTTGGTGGTAACGGCTTCTTTTGGGTTCCGAAATGTCATGGGGAATTACGTTCCCAAAATGGGAGTTTGTGGCATGCAGCATTCCAAAACTTATCATTACTTTTGTGTAAATGATAGCAAGTCAACCACTTCTTAAAAAATCGCTTAATGCCGGCTTTTGAAGATTCGAGGATATCTTATTTATTTAACAACAGTATCACGTCTCCGGGCTCAACCAGTACCTGTACTCCTAAGATAGAGACGGTCCATAACCCGGTGGGAAAAAATCGCAGTACTTGGTTGCCCTTCTCACAATGGGGCCTATGGGGAGACCCGGAGAGAACAAGCCAGAGTACAAGCCGGAGAACAGCAAGTTTTTGGCAAGGTTAGCCAAATTTTATTGAAAAATTTACGTGCTTTGGTATCGCCCAGACACGGGCCTTTCTTCGAGGGTGTTAAAATGACGTGAGATGCCTTAGAATAATAAATATCAATCGATTTGTAGTACAGGTACTGCATTATCTCGGCGTTGTCTTGCGCCACCAGAAGATAAGATATATTTGTAGGCGGCAAATTACAACTTGAAATGCATGGCTGTAAAGCTCTATGATTTTTCTACTACAAACTTAACGATTTGTGTTGGTGCAACTGGATAAATGGCTTTTCTTCGACTATTCATCACAGCCTGTCATTTCAGGAACGACCCGTGGTACTTGTACTTGGTTGGCCCCTTGACAAGTGCTAGAATGTCATCACAATGTCTGGGAATGCGCCAGAACTCCTGTGCGTGGTTTGGTTGTTTGTCTTGATGTGGTGGGAGCAAGGCTATGGTGGGAGTGAGGAGGGTGGAACGTGAGTGTAGCTGCTTGGGATTATGTGCATTGTGGTTGTGAGTTTGAGTTACTCAGTGAGGCAAAGTGGAATTTGTTGTCTTCAATATTCACACAGCATGCATCCACACTACTAAGGTTGCTTGGGATTTAGTTTTGGACCACTATTAAGTCATTCCAAAAAAGGTAAATTAGTGCCTGGGAGCTGACCTACAAATGTTTACCACTGCAGGCCGATGTAAAATTGCCTTGTTATAAACTGCTCTACCTACAGCAAGGTGGGTAGGTACGTAGGTACTGAGGTACCTAAAGACAAAATTAATGCTAGGTTGGGTTTCCCATGTGGGATCAAATATGAGGCTGACCTGTTTTCAGCCTGTGGTTATAACTGCTGTAACATGACAGGTGGCAATGCTGCCATGTTCCTTGCTGTCAGACATTAGGTCCTGCAGTGACACTATTAAAATTTTCCCTGCATTGGATCATAGGGGACTTGGAGAAGAGGAGAAGCATAGAGATTCGAAGGTAGGAGCATGATTCTACCTGTTTTGAGATTATTTATGATATGTGCCGCCTTTAACACGACAAATGATGTGCAATGATTTTTTCTAATGTTAAGTAGGAAAGTACACCTACACTGGTGCAGGAAGAGAGAAGGAGCAGAAGTGGAGGAGGAGTGGAAGGAGAAGAGTGACAGAAAGAGCAGGGAAGGAACTGAAAGAGGAGAAGAGCAGAAAGAGAAGAATAAGAAGAGGAACACTTTTGGTATGTTTATATTAATTCTGTTAAGGCCTCAAGGACTACATGTTAGTGATATCACATACATAAGGCTTTCATAGTCAGTTACAGCTACCTAAGAGTTATAAAAAAACAGGGTGTCATGCAAAGTGTCTATCCACAATTCGGTTTGTCAGCAAGCAGAGGATGCATCTGATTTATCATTTTGATATTGTATAAGTTTGCATGTAGATAGGTAATATGTAAATGAGTTTTGTATCATGCACCCGTGAATGTATATGCATACAATTTTGTTGTTAACCCCTCTAACTGTATATTTCTTATTAACACATACCCTTAATCAATCTCTGCACATATAGGCGAGCTAGTAGCACTACCCGGACATGGATGGGATCAGCGTGGCACCCAGTGTGGGAAAAACCTCCGTTTTCTGGTGGATGTGGCACCAGGAAATTTTGTACTCCAGGCTCTTGACTGGTAAGAATGACAATTTTTGTACTCCAGACAAACGCTGCAGTCGCCCCACAAGGCAGACACCATTGCAAATGTATGAGCCTGAGTATAAGTACCAAGGCAGACAGTTTTGCTTTCTTGATAGCCAGGAGTGTGCATGAACTTGGCTTTCATAAAGTGAGTTATAACTTTCATTCTATTTCCAGGGACCAAACATATGGAGCACCAAGAAATGGAAACAAGCATCTGCAATCCTGCAGGAGCTGGCCAATCCAGGGCATTTATGTCAATGTCCTTCATCATTGTATTACATGGGTTAGATGCACTTGTACAAGCCTATGCAACTCCTGAATGGTGATGACAACTCATGTGAATTACTTCTGTGGGAATGAAATAAACTGAAATATGAAATGTGCTTGTTTTAAGTAGCTACCGCCGCCACATACCTCGCATGTCATTCCCTGTGGGGAAAATATATGGCGCACCTGAGTAAGTAAGACCGCATTCTCCACGACGCACACACCTACCGATACCTTTCAAGAAACGGACAAACATATCACGGCTCTGGCTCCCACCACGCGACGAACCCATCGCCTCCCGTACCCGAAACCAACGGCACCCCAGCCTCCGCAACTGACGAGTGCATTTTCGAGCAGTGAAGGTCCGCGTCGCAACAGACACCTACAACAATATTCGTTCGACCAGAAAATCACTGGCAGCACCAAAATCATCGATGGCACATCTTTTTCAACTAGGTCATTCAAAGACTCGCCGAGCAAGAAGTCCAGCATGCCAACTATGCTCTTAACTTACCTCATATTAAGATAACATGTTAGCGATTTTACCAAAGGACGTGCATCTTGCAAACAGTTTGGTGGGAAAATTCCAAAGATTGCAGCATTGCACATCCTTTTCAAAGCGCCTGTTTCATTCCTGCTCCTGCCATACGAGCCACCAATCACCATCCAACTTGCAATTAAACTCAAAATCATAGCATTCAAACACACCACATATCGGCACTTTTGAGATAGAATCATGACATTAAATGGCACCCAAATATCACTTTGTGGGCGGCACTTTTGGTGGTAACGGCTTCTTTTGGGTTCTTAAGTGTCATCGGGAATTACGTTCCCAAAATGGGAGTTTGTGGCATGCAGCATTCCAAAACTTATTACTATTGTATAAATAATAGTACGTCAACCACTTTTTCAGGAATCGGTAAATGCCGGTCTTTGAAGATTCGAGGATATCTTACTTACTGAACAACGGTATCATGTCTCCAGGCTCAACCAGTACCTATACTTGTAAGATAGAGATGGTCCATAACCCAGTGGGAAAAAGTCGCAGTACTTGGTTGCCCTTCTCACAATGGGGCCTATGGGGAGACCCGGGGAGAACAAGCCAGAGTACAAGCCGGAGAACAGCAAGTTTTTAGCAAAGTTGGCCAAATTTAATCGAAAAATTTACGTGTCTTGGTATCGCCCAGATACGGGCCCTCCTCAGAGGGTGTTGAAATGTCATGATATGCCTTAGAATGAGAAATATCTATAGATTTATAGTACAGGTACTGCATTATCTCGGCGTTGTCTTGCGCCAGCAGAAGATAATACATATTTGTAGGTGGAAAATAGCAACTTGAAATGCATGACTGTAAAGCTCTATGATTTTTCTACCACAAACTTAACAATTTGTGTTGGTGCAACTGCATAAATGGCTTTTCTTAGACTATTCATCACAGCCTGTCATTTCAGGACCGACCGTGGTACTTGTACTTGGTTGCCCCATTGACGAGTGCTAGAATGTCATCACAATGTCTGTGAATGCGCCAGAACTCCTGTGCATGGTTTGGTTGTTTGTCTTGATGTGGTGGGAGTGAGGAGGGCGGAGGGTGAGTGAAGCTGCTTGGGATTATGTGCGTCGTAGTTGCGAGTTTGAGGTATTCAGTGAGGCAAAGTGGAATTGGTTGTCTC